TAGGAAAAGATGCTATGAACAAAAAGATACAAGGACTGTGGGCCACTAATACAGGAACTGAGATGAGCACAGAGAATTATGGGGGATGTTGCACATGCAACATGAAGCCTTGACAACCTGGACCAATGACATCGCCTAGTAAGTGGCCATATCTGAACACCGGCCACATTGTTTAGAAACATAGGCTCCAAGGCTCACCTCAGCATCCTTTGCTGATCTGATGGCCAAAATGCTACAGAAGCTCTTCTTGAGCTCCACACCACCTCACCCCACAAGAAGGTCCCAAGTTACCATGCCCCTCTCCCCCACCCCATCCCAAGACACATTCAAGTCCTAACTTCCTATATCTGTGAACACTATTTGGAAAGAGTCTTTGTAAGTCATCCAGGTAAGATGCTGCCATGTGGTCTTGAGTGGGCCCTGAATGCAATGGCCACCATCTTTATAAGAAAAGGGAGAGAGACTGGGTGGTGGTAGTGGTGCATGCCTTTAATCCCAGCACTCGGGAGGCATAGGCAGCTGGATCTCTCTGTAAGTTTGAAGCCAGTCTGGTCTACAGAGTGAGTTCCAGGCCAGCCAGGACTACACAAAGAAACCCTGTCTCGAAAAACAAACAAAAATAAAGAAAAGAAAGGAGAGAGGGAGATTCAGAGGTGCAGGGTAAAGGCCATGTGGAGACAGGCTGAGCTTAGAGTGATGCAGCCATTAAGCCAAGAACACACCAGAAGCCAGCAAGCAGCAAGGATCATTAGCACCTTCAAGGGAGCATGGCCCCAACTATACCTTGAAATCGGGACTTGTAGCCTACAGGACTGAGAGAAGAAGAAGTTTCTGTTCTTTTCAGTAGCCTACAGGACTGAGAGAGAAGTTTCTGTTCTTTTCAGTCATTTGGTTTGTAACCATGTGCTATGGCAGGTCTAGAAAGTGCACACACCTTTCAGTTCCCCAGAGAGCATCCCATGGCATTTACTCACCTCAGAGCAGCTCCCACTACAGATGGGAAGCCCTGTGCAGGCCTGTGGCGTGACTCCAGTGCCTGAAGCTTTAGCAGCTACTGTGTGTGTGTTGCAATACCACTTGTAGATGGTATGCATAGAGGCTGTGCAGTGGGCATGAGATTTAACACAGGCTCCACAACAAAGCTAGTTTCGTGGTAAAAACCATCACATTATTTCCCATAAGCATGTGGGGGGGAAAGGCTATGTATGAATCTGTGCTTTTGATTTGTGAGTGGTAGATAATTATCAATGTAATAGTGAAACATCCTTCATGAAGTTAAAAATATCTACTGCCATCTGATGAGATTACAGTAACAGCAAGGCTCTCTACCACATGCCATGTGTGTAGAGATGAGCTGGACAGGGTGACTGCCCCTAAGACAGTATGAGAGGTGATCCACTAAGGGAATGGAGACCACATTAACTAGGGGGCTCCATTGATCCTGCTCCCACCATATCAGAGAAGTTTTACCCAAACCACATCCATCTGTAGCCATTCCAGACACTTGAACTGTTCTCTGCAGTTAACAGTGGTTAAGTAGCAGGGTTTTTTACTGGTGGGATGCCCCTTCCGTGTTGGAGCACTCCTTCAACGTGGGTCTCAAATGCAGGCCTCCACTTATGTAGCACCTCCTCTGGGAAGGCTACTTGGATTAAATTTGCTTTGGGGTTGCATGTGGCACAGATATGGGGTGAATTACATTCAAAGGGCTGTGGTACCAACCCGCTGCAGAACCTATATCCAGCTCCCATTTTCCTCAGCTCTACTGTGCCGCTTTCTTCCTTAGAACATACTCGTGTTTTTCTACTGCCTGCAAATCAAATTCAGGCTTCCTGGCTCTTGGCTCTTCTCTTTACCATCCTCCGCTTTGGTCAGACCATCATCTTGTGCTTCCTTAGCTTTCTGCTCCTCCGATCGGCACAGGCCTTTGCTTCTGACTCAACCTTCCCGACTGGAAACCCAAGCCTGTCCACCACACCACGCACCAAGGAAACAGTCCAACACTGTTTTCAGGAACTGGGGGTCACTGTGGTTGTGTTCTGGAGTCCCAGCAGCCGAGCAGCATGCTCCAACTTCTCTTTTTGTACAAACTCTTGCTAGTATGTTACCTCATGTGAAATCCTTTGTGTCAGCTTCCCAGCAATCCAAAGTAAATACCAGCAATACAGGGTGAAAAAAAATCATTGCATTTATTTATTTATTTATTTATTTATTGTGTGTGTGTGTGTGTGTGTGTGTGTGTGTGTGTGTGTGTGTGTGGTTGCTCATGTGTCAGTGTGCTTATGGAAATCGGAGGACAACATGTGAGGCCCAGGGCTCAAATTCAGGCTTGGTGGCAAGTGCCTTTACCCGATGAGCCACTTGACAGCCCTAGGGATATCATTTTTAAATTGCACAATGAAAACACTCAACAGCTCACCCATCTGCCTACTCAGTGAACAAGGAATAGACAAGGAGGCAAAACATAAAATTGCTAACTCTTGGCAGTGCTCAGTCCTGGGTGGGTAAAACAGGTAGCAATAAAGATCGACCCATCAGCAAGAATAACTGGTGTTATTTGCTTTGAAAAGGAGAGAGTTTTAAAAATGAAGGGGATCTCCACATGCTCATCTAACAGGAAACACAAGCTTCTCTCAAATTTCCCATCAAAGCATGGTCTCCTAGCAACAGCCACTGAAAGGTAAAGCTTTCAAGATTTCGATTTTACTATCTGTTATGTATTCTTTGTGACTCAATCTTCAAGGGTATGAAATGTCAAACTTGAGATTAAATTTCCACTAACCGAAATGCAATTTATTAAAGGAATTTGTCCAATCGTTGAAACAACAAGAAGGTTCTCACTCAGTCTACTAAAGAACTATTAAAATTCTGGCCAAAATCTTTGAAAATTTAACTGGTAAAAGATTAAAAGCTGAAAGTGAAGTTACATTAATGAGCAATTTGGGGTTTAAAGTAACTATTTTAATACAAAATCTACTTGCTGATCAATCTTTTTTTTTTTCCTTGCAAACGTCAATGGAAATATCACCCAAGACTGGTTCGCCTACTGTGGTGAGAGGCGAAGGTTCTCAGCAGGCACAAGGCCCTCAGTTCAATGCCAGCATGAAAGGAAAACAGTTGAGTTCACCTAAAATCTACAGAAGCCAAGTCTGAGACAGGAAATATGGCCACTTCAGCTATATAAGTGGTAGTAACATAAACCCAAGCCTGCCAAGGTACTTCACAAATGCTGATCAGAAGTCACAATTAATTAAAACCACCTGGTGAGGCTGTGTGCAGCGGTGCACACCCTTAATGCTAGCACTCAGAAGGCAGAGACAGGCAGATCTCTATTAATTCAAGGCCAAAGGCCTGGTCTATAGTGAGTGCCAGGCCAGTCAAGGATACAAAGTAAGACTGTCTCAAACAAACAAACAAACAAAAATCACCTGGTGAAGTAGCTGGGAACTGGGCTCAGTTGGTAGAGGGCTTGCCACACAAAATGGGCATGGTGATACACATTTATAATCCCAGCTCTCTGGAGGTTGGCACAGGAGGATCAGTTATACTCAGCCATGCAGAGTTCAAAGCTAGGCTGGGTTACAAATGATTCTTGTCTCCATAAATTAAAAAAAAAAAAAGCTGGAGAGATAACTCAGCAGTTAAGAGCTGGCTGCTCTTCCAGAGGACCTGGGTTCAATTCCCAGCACCCACATGGCAGTTCACAACTGCCTGTACCTCCTGTTCCAGAGGATCTGACACCCTTACACAGACATACATGCAAGCAAAACACCAATGCATATAAAATAAAATTATTTAAAAATAACAATAAAAGTAATCACCTGGTGAAAACCACAGCTTCTCAAAGGAAATCCTTGTATATTATCTTTGGGAATGTGAATTATTACAGCCACTGCGGAACACAGCAGAGATTTTTGGGAGGAAACTCCTTGAAGATAGTACTGCTATGATCCAGCAATCTAACAGGTTTAAATTGGTATGCTGAAGGGCTGTCTGTGCTCCTAGCTTGCTGCCACATTAGTTACAACAGTTCAGACATAGATCTATTTAGCTAACACTATAACATACAGAGAAAATATGTCATATATACATAACAGGCCAATACTGTTTATCCTTTAGGAGGGAAACTCACTTGCAACAACATGGATGAATTGGGAAGACATTAACACTGAGTGATATAAGCCAGGCACAGAAAGATAAATTCTATGTGACCTCATTTTTATGGGAGGGGAGTCTATAAAAGTCGAATTCAAGAATGAAACGACTGGCAGGACAATGTGGTTTGAATAAAAATGGCCCCCATAGGCCCATAAGGAGTGGCACTATCAGGAAGTGTGGCCTTGTTGGAGGAAGTGTGTCACTGGGGGTGGGCTTTGAGGTCTCAGATGCTCAAGCCAGGCCCAGTGTAGCACTCTTTCTTCCTGCTGCCTGCTGATTCAGATGTAGAACTCTTGGTTCCTTCTCCAGCACCATGTCTACCTGCATGCCACCATGCTTCCCACCACGGCAATAATGGACTAAACCTCTGAATTGTACACCAGTTCTAATTAAATGCTTTCCATAATAAGAGTTGCCATGGGGGGGCTGGAGAGATGGCTCAGTGGTTAAGAGCACTGACTGCTCTTCCAGAGGTCCTGAGTTCAATTCCCAGCAACCACATGGTGGCTCACAACCACTTGCAGTTAGATCTGGTGCCCTCTTCTGGCCTGCAAGGACACATGCAGACAGAACACTGTATACATAATAAATAAATAAACGTTAAAAAAAAAAAAAAGAGTTGCCATGGTCACGGTATTTCTTCACAGCAACAGAACATTGACTAAGACAAGGAATAAAGGAGATTTGGGTCAAAGAGTGTGTGTTTTTTCCTAGATGAAAGGGAGAAATGTCTGAGAAGTACTGTAGAGAGTGCAAGCTACAGTTAATAATAATGGAGATTTCAAAATCCCTGAGAGCAGACTTTGGTCAGAGGAAAGAAAAAAAAAAAAAGTGAGCTAATAAATGTTTGTAAATGGATTTACTTGTCCCAGAATATGAACATATATAAAAACATATTACACACCCATAAGTATATAAAATTACTGTCAAATGTGTAGGAAAATAAAACAGCTTCTCATAATTTGCAATAAAGGATCTTTTTTCCTTGAAATGTTTGGTGCATACATTGTTACCATTTCAATATTCCAGAGCTATTAAATCAAGTCTCAGTTGTCAGTAGGTGACTTCACACTGTTCCCAGCTTGTCTTTTGCTCATTTTTCCAGATCACATTTTAGAATCATCTGTGAGCTGGGCAGTGGTGGCGCACGCCTTTAATCCCAGCACTCGGGAGGCAGAGGCAGGCAGATCTCTGTGAGTTCGAGGCCAGCCTGGTCTACAGAGTGAGTTCCAGGACAGGCTCCAAAACTACACAGAGAAACCCTGTCTCAAAAAACAAAACAAAACAAAAAACCAAAACCCAAAACCAAAACAAAACAACAAAGAATCATCTGTGCAAGCAATACTTACAGTTGTCTATAGAGGATAGCTCTGTTTATTCATCTCTGTGTTTATGTGCATGCACAATTTTGTACATGTATGTAGAGGTGAGAGGTCAAAGTCAGGTGTCTTCCTCAAGCATAGTTCTTGAGACAAGGTTTCTCACTAACCCTAGAGCTTCACCTGTTCTTGCCTCCCCAGTGCTGGGATCTAAGCATGCACTGTCGGCCTGGTTATGTGGTCCTGAGGATTTGAACTCAGTCTTATGCCTGTGAAGCAAACACTACCAATGGAGCCATCTCCCTGTCAGGATGCTAGCCTCTTATGTAACTAAGCCTCTTCTATTGGTGGTCAAGAATATGCACAACACTGAAGCAACAACCGCTTCAAGCTGCATATGGACCGATATTCTCTGGTGGCTACCCCTTCTCCCATACAAATCCACATACCAGGTAAATTAAGCAATTACAATTATAAATGCATTGAAAACTCAAACCATATGGCCAGACAGTGCCAGGCCCAGATGAAGATGTTTACAGTGGCATTGCTTAGATAGCAAAAAACAACAAACAACTCAAAAGCCCGTCAACAGAGCAACAGATCAACTGCATCATATTCATTAAAACTACGTAACAATACAAATGAATCAACTCTTTAAAAAGTCACAGAAATAAACATACATTGTGTCATTTATATAAAATTCAAAACCATATAAGATTAACAGCAGGGCAAACACAACTCAGAATGATAATCCCTGGAGGGAGAAAGGACACATGGAACTTCCACAGCAAGGGACACTTTATCTCTTACACTCTGGCGGGTGCACAACTATGTTTTATGTTTTATATACAAGTTTATGGACTTCTGTGGTATGAAATGCTTCATTTAAAAAGAGTGAAAATATGAAAGATGTTAAATATGAATACTACCGTGTATGCATAACAATAAAATTTGTATAAAAAGTACACACAGAAAACGCCCCGCTCTCTCTCAGTGCCCCACACCATCAGTGTTAACCTGAAGGCTAAACTGCTAACATGGAAACGCAGTTAGCTGTGCCAGCAGGAACTCTGAGAGCGTCTGTGAGTGCTCCAGTCAGGCAGGAGCAGACCTGCTAGCCATCTGCCTCCTCCTCTGCCCTGTTCATCTGTACTTAGATTTTTCTTTGTCTTTGGACTTCTTTGGACTTCTGCTTCGGTCTCTCTTTCTACTCCTTTCCCTTTCATAAGGATCTGTTTGGTACTTGGGTTTGTGGCTGTTACTATAGTGACCGTCCCTTTCTCGAGATCGGCTACGACTGCGGTTCTGACGTCGGTCTCTTTTTTCACTCTTCTGTTTCTCCCAACAGCTTTCTTCATCTTCATAGTGGCCAAAACCCATTTCCCTGTAGATATCCTGTCAAAGAAATGCAGTTTTAAAGTCAATCAGTAAAATAATCATCTATGAGCACTGTCAATTGATGAAGCCTAGAAAAATATGCCATTAGCAAGCCGATGAAACAACTCAGATTAATTTGATTTTTATTTTCTGTGCCCAGGTGTTTCATCTGTATGTATGTCTGTGAGAGTGTTAGATCTCCTGGAATTGGCGTTACAGTCACAGACAGTTGTGAGCAGCCATATGGTGCTAGAAATTGAGACCCACTTTGCCTACCCAACAGGCAAGCTGCAGTTAAATACTACTCAGCTTCCTGTAACCTAGTAAAACCCAAACTTCAACAATACAAAACCACCTATGGAATTAAGGTATAAGAGGAAAAAATTAAACAGATGATTCTCTGAACTGAATAGCAACAACGTGAAGAAGCCAGTTAGAGCACCTTAGGAAACTGGACTCTGCCAGCAAACAGCAGCACACAGGAACATCTGAGCTACACCCACAACCTAACCTGTGCTCAAGTTTCGGTTAGTAATTATGTCTTCAGACTAAAACAGAAAACATCCATGCTGAGCTTTCTTATAAAGAAGAAGAAATTAATACAGGTATACTGTCAAATCAAAATATAAAACCCAAAAAACTTACTTTAATGTCCTTATGGGGAAAAGGTTAGAAAATGATAATTCAGAATCTAACACTTTTATAGTTACAAACACTATTATTTTAAAACTTAAAGGGTGTGTGTGGGTGTCGGAGGACAACTGCCAGTAGCTGTTCTTTCCTCCACATTGCTGAGACGGAGTCTGCCCTCCTGTCACTTCTGCTAGGCTGGAGTAGTGTGTTCCCACACTGGTCCTTAAGCTTCTGGGAGACTTTCCTGTTTCTGCTTTCCATGTCAACACAGGGGTGAGGACATTACAGATATGTAGCCCCACAGCAAGTTTTTTCTTTTCTTTCTTTTTAAAGGGAGGTTCCCGGGACTGAACTCACGTCATTAGATTTGCATGGCAAGTGTTTTTTACCCGCTGAGCCATCTCCTCACCCCTTAAAATTCTTTTAAAACTGCTAACAGCATTTCTGCCTTTTTACTGCATGTCAAAAGAAAAAGACTGCCACTGTAAAGGTTTAAGTCACCAGAAAGTAGGGGATAGGGAGATGGCTCAGGATAAGGTGCCTACATACCATACAAGGGCCCGAGTTCAGATCCACAGCTCCCATATGAAAACTTAGACAAGGTGACCTGTGCCTGTAACCCCAGCACTGTGGGAGTAGTGACCAACAGATCCCTAGAGAGTCCTGGTCAGTGAGTTTAGCCAATCAGTGGGCTCTAAGCTCTGGTAGAGATGCTGTCTCAAAGAAAATAGTATGGAGGACAACAAACGAAGACACTTAACTAGAACCTCTGGCCTACACACACACACACACACACACACACACACACACACACACACACACACACACACTACACAGATATATACTTGCACACAAATATATGCACAAAAACATAAATACAAAATTTAAAATACCCCCCCCAAAGTAGGATAAAAAGGTTCCTAACACTGGGGAGGAGATGAGCTTAAAACATATCCAGTCTTTGCATTTCTTTAAACTTTAGGCTGAAGATGATACCCCAACATTGTGGTATCAGGTGACTGTCCAGGCAGCTGGCTGTTTCTGTCAACTCACATTTTTTTTGGAAGCCGCTTGCTTGCACTTCCTATTTTACTAGGCCATATTATTTCCTTCTTGGGTCTCTGAGGGAGTTGAAGATTAGATAAGATAGTTATAATTAGTTGAGATTAGATAGTTATAGTTTTCCTTGTTAAGAATTTCAGAGAAGAAACTCACTAAAGAGGTGTAAGTGTATAAATCTGAAAGACATTGTAAGACAGTTCTCTGTTAGTAATACAAGTTAGGATAAAAAGTGAATCAGGTACATTTTGGACTTACCAAAATAGGATAGATAATGGAATATTTTCTCTGAGTTGTCAAATGCAAATGGATTAGACACTGTTGAGGTATTTATTGCTTGTATATATTGTATATAGTTATTGTACTTATTGTATATAGTTTTTATATTAGTTATAACTTTTTCCTTTTTATTAGAATAAAAAGGGGAAATGTGGTGACACTTTATTTGTGCTCAAATGTGATATTTTATTTGTATGTTATTAAATAAAGTTGCCTGGAGATCATCTCAAACACAACATTTATCTCAGACCTGGATTCACAGAAGATCATAATCACAGGTTTGAACACCCATAGCTAAAAGCAACATGGGCTTTGAAGGCTTTAGTAGAAAACATGTTAAACATCCATAGGAATGTGATATGATGACTATTTTAAAAGACTGGGGTGATCTAGAACTAAATTAACAGAAATTAAAAGAAAGGAGGTAGGCTATGGAGATGGCTTAAAGGCAATGGCCTGTAAGCCTAGCAGTGTGGGATGGCAGAGACAGGAAGATTGCTCAGATTTGTTGGCTACCAGTCCAGCTGCAGGTCTGGAAAGAGGCCCTGACATAAAGGACTGGGTGGAGAGTGATGAAGCCTCCTTTAGCCTCCAGAGCATACACCCTGCGTACACACGCGTACAGGTACTAACACACACACACACACACACACACACACACACACACACACACACAGTAATTTTCGAGGGGGGAGGAGACACTCTGGTTAGATCACCTGGATACTGCATTACGGGTCAATCCTACTAGAACAACAACAGAATTAGGAGAAGAAGAGGAGGAGGAGGAGGAATGTGTCCCTGGTAAAAACAGCAGCAGCAGACTAGACAGGACGAACATGTGATCTACACTATGGCTCCACTTTTACTACACGTGTCAACTAGAGGTCAGTAACAAGCATCTTCCTTTATAATTTCTCCATTGTGAAATGGGGATAAAGAGCTTACCTCACATTTTAAGGACAAAAAAATAGATTTTATTGTTTTTATTTTTATTTATTCATGTGAGGAACATTTGAAAGAATGGACAAAGATACAGTTTAAAATCTGTAGCAGGAACCAGGTGGTGGTGGCCCACGCCTTTAATCCCAGCACTGGGGAGGCAGAGGTAGGGGGATCTCTGTGAGGACAGCCTGGTCTACAGAGTGAGCTCCAGGACAGCTGATCTATACAGAGAAACCTGTCTTGTAAAACCAAAAATAAAATAAAATCTGTAGCATGTGGTGGTTTTGTGTTCCCCAAAATATTGTGTACCTTAATAAACTTATCTGGGGTCAGAGAACAGAACAGCCACTAGATATAGAGGCTAGAAAATGGTGGCGCTCACGCCTTTAATCCTAGCATTCCAGAGACAGAAATCCCTCTGGATCTCTGTGAGTTCAAGGCCACATTGGAAACAGTAACTCACGCCTTTAATCCCAGAAAGCAGCCTTTAATCCCAGGGAGTGGTGGTGGAAAGCAGAAAGGTTTATAAGGCGTGAGGACCAGAAACTAGAAGCATTTGCCTGGTTAAGCATTTTGGCTGGTTAAGCATTCAGGCTTCGCCTCAGGTTTGATTTTATTAATAAGAACTTTTAAGATTCCTGCTACAGTAGCAGGACATGAATGATGACAATATTTAAAAGAGCTAACAGGCTATAAAAAGGAGAAAGATTATGCCTCTGTTAGATGACACTGAGGGGTAGGAATGTAGCTATTCAGGAGTATATATCAAATATATATTTACTAAAATATTTTTTAACTCTAGGAAGATACTGAGGACCTGTATTGAAATCTCCAGCATTCACACAAAAGCCGGGTATGAAGTATAACTCTGTAACTCCAGTGCTGGGGATGAGGAAACAGAAGGATTTTGAGAGCCCCTCTAGCTAGCCAGTCTAGCCAAATGGCAATACCAACTTCAGTGAGAGACTGTCTGGAAAATAAGGTAGAAAGCTTACACAGGCAAGTGTGCTTAGACATTCACGCTAACATCCTCCTACACACACAAAGAGAGAGAGAGAGAGAGAGAGAGAGAGAGAGAGAGAGAGAGAGAACACTATTAAATGAAGACAATACATCATCACCGCTGGGCGATGGTGGTGCATGCCTTTAATCCCAGCACTGAGGAGGGAGAGGCAGGTGGATCTCTGTGAGTTCGAGGCCAACCTGTTCTACAAAGTGAGTTCTAGGACAGGCTCCAAAACTACACAGAGAAACCCTGCCTCAAAAAACAAAACAAAACAAAACAACAACAACAACAACAAAATCACCTACAAGAGAAAGAAAAAAGGGGATGGGATGGGGTTCAAATTACACTTTGAATGTGGACTATTCTGTAGGTTTTTCCTTCAAAAACAGCCAAAACCTCAGAGCCTCACTATATTGCTCAGCCTGGCTTCAAACTCTTGGCCTTCCTGCTCAGACTCCCAAGCATTACAACTGTAGATGTGTGCCACCACAGTGTTGTTAGATTTTATTTTTGAACCTTATTGTTTTAAGAACTACAAACCATTTAATCTCAGCACTTGGGAGGCAGAAGCAAAGGCAGGTGAGTTTGAAGCCAGCCTGGTTTACATAATGAGTTCTAGGCCAGTTAGGGCTACACAGTGAGATCCTGTCTCAAAACAAAGCAAGCCACAAAATAAAACTATAAACCAGAAAAATGTTTTGCGCAATCCATTAACCTGAAATGGAAACCGAGACAACCTGCCTGCAGTAGGAACCGGCTCATGCCCTAGCCACAGGAGAGCTACCGTCAGTGACTGTACAGCAGCAGCACCTTGACAGCGCCAGTGGAAGCAATGAGACCAGCCAGAACAGAAAATGTTTGCACACTTGCCCACATTCATTGTAACAGCCTGTCCGTCTGGGAAGCATTATCTCCTTTGTCAAAGAAGGAAACTGTGACTCGAAGTTAACGTGCCAAGGTCACATCAACGGCAAGCAGTACAGAGATGTCCCTCTTAACCCTCGGAACGGCAGCGCCTTCACTCTGCTCACCCTAACCCGTCTCTCCATCTCTGTCTCTTGCTTTGCACGTTCACACCCCCGTGTTCCCTGCCTTCTCACCTCAGTCTACTGAAATCGTTCTCACTCACCAGGATCATCCCAAATGACCGACATGAGGTAAAATAAAAGCAGGGGCAATGATGGAATGGCTTTTTTTTTTTTTTTTAATTTAACAAAGAGCCAAAACAGGCTAGAAATCATTTCTTTTCATTACCATTGTTTTAGGAAATGTGCTGTTCAGGACAGTTTTGAGGTGATGTTTAATTATGAGTGCTATTTCTATTTTATATCTACAGTATAGACAGGACATAACCTCAGCCATAAAGTGTGATGTCCTATGTAGTAAATGGATGCAACCAGAAAGTCATATTCAGCAAATTAAGTCAGTCTCAGAAAGACAAACTGCGTAAGCTTTCTTTCATTTGTGGCTCTACATTTTATACAGTCATGTACATATAGATTAAATACAGGAGTGAAACTGTCTAGGCCCCAGGGGACACAGGGACTAATGGGAAAGGAGTGGAAGGAATATTCACAACAGAAAATATGTACATTTAAGAAGATTTAAATTGAAATTAAGAGGCTGGAGAGACTGTGCCTCAGATAGGAGTGCTGAGTGTACACTCAAAAGGAACTGTGTTCAAGTCCCCGGAACCACATAAAGGTCACAAGCCTGTAACCATGGCGCTATGAGGAACAGAGACAGGAGGACTGCTGGGGATTGTTGGCTGCCAGCCTAGCTCCAGGTTCAGTGAGACCCTGTCTCAAGGGAGTAAGATGGAGAGGGATACAACAGGACACCAAGTGTCCTCCTCTGACTTCCCTGCATGCATAGCCCATGTACATACACTACACATAAATATACATACACAGAGTTTTTTAACTTAAAGTTTTAAAGTGCTGAGGGGCTGACAGATGGCTCCGCATTGAAGAGCATTTACTGCTCTTTCAGGGGACCCATGTTCGGTTCCCATCACCCACATAACGCTGGCTCATAAGTGCCTGCAACTCCAGCTCCAGGAGATCCAATACTCTCTTCTGACCTCCAATGGCAAGCACTATGTATTTAACAGACATGCGTAAATTAAATAATAATAATAATAATAAACCTTTTAAAGTGTTGACAAATTAAGCTAGTAACTGAGAAGCAATTTTCAACATAGCCAAATTTGTTTTTTGTTTTATTTTTATGAAAATAAGTATCCATAGGTAAGGAGATCACTCTTGGTTAAAGTGTGGAAATACATAATAGCTGAAATTATTCTGAAAACACTATTGCCATCCTGTGGGATACATTCTTTAAAGTTAAAGCCCATTATCTTGGGTGCCCATTCTATAGCTCAGAGCAGGGAATTACTGTTCAAAACTACCCCTTACTCCTAAATTACACCACCAATATGCACTGTACAAAAGGACAGGATACTGATTTCTCCATGTGTAAGCCCGAGGTCAGAAATACCTGATTAGGATTTTTGATTGGCATGTATTCTTCATCTTCCTTTTCTTCAGAGCAGTGACGTGTTTTCTTTTTGTGTTTTTTACTTGCGTGTGAGTGGCTTGATTTAGAGTCTTCTGCCTGCTCATCTAGTATAAGATCATATTTTGCACTGAAGCATTAAATTAAGGAAAATAGAATAAATAATGGAAGCAACTTAAGAAATATGGTAAACAGAGGAGGCCATAAAGCCAACTGTAACTTAAAGCAAATAACATCCCAAAGCACAGAATACCTTTTTAAAAAATACATTTCTAAAACAAGTAACACAGTCTTCATTACAGTCAAGAGAAATGGAAGAGATCCTGGCATCAGCCAGCTAATAACCACCAGGCAAAAATTATAAGTAGGATAGAAATAAAAATATATTTGTTAATAGTATAAAACAACAACCTAATTTAGAAATTGAGGGATGTTATCAACTAGAAAAACTAAAGGTATCATGAGCCCCAATGGCAGACGCTCTTTAGATAGAAGGGACACCGCATGACTCTTCTCAGGTCAGTTAGGGAGAACCCAGCAGTAAACAGTCACGATGCGGAAAGCCTTGTAAGAATTCATAGCAACTAAAACGAAGTTCCATGAAAACAGATACACGTATTAGAACCATTTTTAATTATCAGAAAATGAGAACAATATTTAATAATATATAATAAAATACATTTTAGTATCATAGCATGATGTACTATAAAAGGAGTTACTAATAATTATTTTTAAAGGCTAGGAAGGCCTATATGAAAATTAAAAGTGAAAAAAAGCTTAAGTCAAAATACTGTATGGTTGATCCCAGGACTTAGGAGACAAAGCTGGCAGATTTCTGTGAGTTTGCGTATGTAGTAAATTCCAGGGCAGCAGAGCTACATAGTGAGACTCTGTCTCAAAACAAACAAGCAAACTAAACCACAGACAGGAGGGACGGCTCAGTAGTTCAGAGTCCTAGCTGCTCTTCTAGAGGACCTGTGTTCTGTCCCAGCACCCCTGTCAACTGGATTACAACTGCCTATAGCTCTAGCTCCAGAGATCCGACACCCTCTCTGGTCTCTTCAGGTACCCACGTTCACACATGCACATACCTATCCATAGCCACACACACATAACACATAATTTTAAAAAATAACTTTTAAAAAAAACTTCATAAACATTAATACTTGTAATCCCAGCTACTCAGAAAGCTGAGGCAAAGAAAGATTAGTCTGAGACTAGGCCAGGGTTCAAAGCAGGCCCTGCCTAGGGAAAGAGTGGGACCCTGCATACATAATAGAGTCATTTTAACTTCAAACTCTGTGAAAGATAAAGGCTTGAAAGGCAAAAATATAAAAAGCACCATTTGTGTATGTGACAGAAGTGAGCAAATCTTTTCTAATTTCATAAAAAATGGTACTTAAATTTTAATTTTAATTGGAGCCAAGGGTGTAGCTCTGCGGTAGCAAGCTTGCCATCATGCAGAAAGCCCTGGGTTTGATCCTAGCACAATAATAATAATAATAATAATAGTAATAATAATAATAACAATGTTTTAAATCAGAAATAATCAATTTCTCTAATGTAATATAAAGCTTTAGAATAAAAGAAAGCATAAACTGGGCATGGTGGCCCATGCCTTTAATCTGAGCACTTGGGAGGCAGAGGCAGGCAGATCTCTGTGAGTTTGAAACCACCTTGGTCTATATAGTAAGCTCTGGTCTATATAGTGAGCCCTAGGACAGCTATATAGTGAGACCCTGTCTCAAAAAATAAACTAAGAGAAGGCATAAACCTAGTGTACAAATAATCTCTAAACTGCTCTCTGAAGGTTGACTTCTGGAGTGTGGGGAATATGAGGAAGCCTAGCACAAAGTGTTATTTTAGTTACATCTGGGACTAGAGTCAACATGGACATGTCCTTTAAGGACCAGAATCTAATGTCTGTTTCCTTTTTTTAATGTTTGTTTTCATAGTGGCACAGCTTAGGCTTTCCCTGTACATATCCCACATACACATACAATCAAAAAGTTAACAATATCCTTTCTAGCTTTCCACAAGACAGCCAAAGATGGACCGCCAGTCCCGTTATTACTTCATTATCTACAATTTCTTTACTCTTTTATATTATGTCTGATTATTTCCAGTGTTCTTCAAACTAAAGGTCATAATTCAACGATGAGATGTAGAATTTATGGTTCATAACTCACAATTTTGGAAGTCACACAGAATAAGAAATAAAGAATAGCACCTTAAAAAATACTGTTAGTTGGGGTGTAGCCCAGTGGTAGAGAGATTGTCTCGTATGTGCAAAGTCCTGGTTCAATCCCCAGCACTGTCAGAAAAAAAAAGACAAAACTTGTGAGATCTTGTTTCTGTTGTGTGTGAGGGGCATGTGTATGAAAAGGAGGATATATGATTGCACTAGGTAAGATGTACACTTGATTTTTTTAAGATGAGGTTCTCTGTAAGTCACCAAGCCTAATCCTGAACTAGGCTCAAACAATCCTGTCTGAACTTCATGCATGCACCCCACCCTCCTAAACTTTCTAAATGATGGGTAAAGAAAATAGTAGCAAGGGTTGGAGTAAGCGCAATTAGTAGAGTGGTTGCCTAGCATTCATTAAAATATTTTGGTGCTACAAACTTTAAAATAATACATTGACTTCCTTATAGTCAGAACAACCTCCATGGTAAACACCTCTGCGCTCTGCTCTGTAGCTACATTTCCTTTATTTGTCCTCTACACTCCCCTTCTTAGTGGTTAGCCTAAACTTAACCTCACAGATGTCCAGGTAACATTTGCACATATTCATCTATGCCTTTTATGATTCTAAGCTTTAATCACATGCCTTCTAATATCCTTCTTTAAGGACCGACCTCAGCTTGTTGGTCTGGCTGCCTGCAAAGCCTCTTAGGTTGATGCTGTCAGCTCTCTTCAGACTCTAACACATCACAATGTTTTGTGCAGACAGGCAACACAATTTAAAGCATGAATATCTAAAGGCCAACCTGATACTCATCTCTGCTTGATGAATACTTGGAGAAGACATGCCTACGTAACACAGGAAAAGAGAACTCCTTTCCATCAACAGAAACTAGGAAACAAAGATGCCATTTACCAGACAGGATTGCCAAAGAAATGACCTTTGCAATGTGTAGAGTGATAGATTTATAATGGGAAAATCAGTCAAACAAATAAAAATGACATAATGCGAACAGTATGTTTCACTGCTTTTTAACTTGTCTCAACGTAAAACTTGGAAAAACCTGAATTACATGGTCAAGTCAATAGATTTGTTTTTAATCCTGTAAATGTCAACTCTTGCACTGAACAGGAAGGAGACGTAAACAAAGTTTTAGCAAATCTTTGTTGCTAAAATGACAAGGTATTATGCAGAAAAAAAAGCAATCTAATTATGTGACAAAGAACTACAAGATTTTGTTATCTAGCTAAGGAAATTAAACACAGGAGAAGGAATAACACAAAACATTAGTATATATAAAAATAACAAATTTACCTGAAGATCATTTGAGAACACTGGGTAAGTAGGAAGGTATTTAATGTAAGAGTAGGAGGTAAAATATTTAGGCTTAAGTTTCTTTCAAACCTAACTTTCTCCATAATACCAAGTATAATGAAAAAGCCAAGTCTACAGGAGACACTGGAAAGTTGTGACCTTCACAAATGATCCACACAGTGGAAGAATGTGCACACGATTCTTGTAAAGGATACTCCTGTTTGGGCTTTACTTTTTCTTTCAGAACCAAATTGGATGGTTTATCCTGTTCCTTTTCATACTCTTTGAAATCACTCTTGGTATATTTCCCACCTATTTATTAAGAGAGAAAAAGAATTAGTATCACATAAGAAACACTAACAAGCTTATAAATCACAAAGGGCTACACAAGGCACACATTGAGAAGCAGAAAAAGTGAAGAAGGACAAAAGAACACAGCAAACCTGTCTGCTGTTAGTTTAGTTCAAAGTGCATGTTCAATTTTCTCGGTGGTCATATGCTGCCATCTACAGACATATATGAATATTACAACATCCAAATCAAACACCCGTACTACACTGTTCAAGCAAACAGTGCATCAAGCCAGCAGCTAACACTACACCTAAACAGACATGTAATTTCCCCCATAAAACTGTAATTATAAGCCGGGCGGTGGTGGCGCACGCCTTTAATCCCAGCACTCGGGAGGCAGAGGCCGGCGGATCTCTGTGAGTTCGAGGCCAGCCTGGGCTACCAAGTGAGTTCCAGGAAAGGCGCAAAGCTACACAGAGAAACCCTGTCTCGAAAAACCAAAAAAAAAAAAAAAAAACTGTAATTATAATATGTAAAAAACACAAGCGGCCAGTCTGGCAAAGAATACAGGGATGGACACCATGCTAATTTCCACCATTACTTTATCAAGAGCAAGTCAAAAATCATTCTGGTGAGACTGGTGAGCCAAGCTGGAACAGGTTTCTCCTTCAACCGCAAGAGAAGCTGACTCTTCAGCATTACGATCCAACTGTGAACTAAAAAGTTCTCTTTGTGGAACAGAGGGAAGTCTATGCCCTCTAAGCAGTGGACTGAGAATGAATTTGATGTAGAAACGAGAAGACAAAGAGGGAGGCACTGGTTGGGAACCCTGCAGTGTATGCTGAGGAAACACAGCATGGCTTCTGGTGAGGTGAGGGCCGTTGCGAAAGTTCTTCATAGAGACCAGATATTTATCTGGGTTTTTATAGGCCTTAATAAAAAAAATCCAAAAACTCCATTCATTTTCACAAAGCACTCAAAAGAGCACCAAGCACGTATTTCACCAGCAGGGTGGGATCACAGGAGAAACGGAGAGCACAGGACCACGACCCAAGTCACTTCTCCTACCAGAGATCCCAGCTTCCAGGGGCCTTCCAGCTGCCAACTCAGGTAACTGATTTCTCCCTCTTCTAAAGCCTACCACCTGCCACCAAACAGTCCAACTTATTTCTTATTTTTAAAAGCAGTGAAATCATGGGAAACAAGTTACAAATGGTATAGAAAAAGTAATCTTGAGGCTGGAGTGATGGCTCCATGGTTAAGAGCACTGTTCTTGCAGAGGACCTGGGTTCAACTCCTAGAACCCCCACGATGGCTCATAACTCTCTGTAATTCCAGTTCCAGAAAATCTAATACTCTGGTCTCTGCTGGCACCAGGCATACACATGGTGCACATACATATGTACAGGCAAAATATTCAGACATATAAAATAGAAATAAATAAATCTTTTAACAAAGAAGAAAAGGTAATCTTCATTTGCCTGGTAAAATTTAGCATTACATGTGAATAACTACCAAAGGGAAACCTTTTTTATTGTTGCTGTTTTGTTTTTCTGAAACAGAGCCTTAACTATGTAGCCCTGGCTGGCCTGGAAGTGGCTATGTGAACTCATCTGGCCTCGAACTCACAAAGATCCACCTGCCTCTGCCTCCCCAACACTCAACTCTAAGTGAGATCTTTTAAAAACAGGGTTAAAAAATGATTTTTAAAACTCAGCTAGGAGCCGGGCGGTGGTGGCGCACGCCTTTAATCCCAGCACTCGGGAGGCAGAGGCAGGCGGATCTCTGTGAGTTCGAGGTCAGCCTGGTCTACAGAGTGAGATCCAGGAAAGGCGCAAAGCTACACAGAGAAACCTTGTCTTGAAAAACAAAAAACAAAAAACAAAACAAACAAAAAAAAAAACCTCAGCTAGGAATATAGTTCGACGACAGACACATACTTAACATCTGTGGGACTCCGATGCCCAATATTTGGCACATATGCACATGCACACACATACACAAAGTTCACAAGATAAAAACTTCACAGCTAGGGTGGGGAGTCAACACTTAGAATCTTAACTCAGAAGACTGAAGCAGAAGGACACTAAGTTTGAGGCAAACCTAGACTCCATAGCAAAACTATGTCTCAAAAAATTTTTAATTAAATTTAACTTAAAAATTTGAAACTAAAAAGATTTAATAATAAAATAAAAAATAAACTCTGATCCAGCATATAACAGATCCAAATTAAGTTTGGTATGCCTGTATCAGGGACTTACATGCAGATATACAGCAGATGTGAGAAATGCCACACATATATAGCCCATGGAGGAGCTCAGGCAGTAAATGACACACATTGAATGGAGGACTGAGCAGCCAATGAAAAGAGCAAACTAGCACATATACTCATATTAAATGAGCTCTGAAGATACATTATCAATGGGGACTCTAAGATACTGAGTAATGTAATCTGCATCCTTTGAACTCTCCTTTTTAAAATGAGGAGGAAAAAACATATGCATGTGTATACAAAGAATGGCTGTAGAAAGAACAGGCAACTGGTTACTTCTGGGAAGAGAAACTGGGTAGAAGAGGAGTGGAAGAGAATTTTATATAACAACAAAAACAAGAAACAAAACTTTTAAGAAGTTTGCATCTAAAAGAATCAAATTATCAAAAAAGTCATAATTATTTCAGAAATAGATCATGTCTTCAATGGGTAGTTTGAAATAGCTTACAATATAAGCAAATGCTAAAAAAAAAGATGTATTTTCATCCATCAACACATATATACACATTCTAGATAGTAGCTTTACAAAATCCTAAGTGACCTGAATTCTATTAACATTCCCCTTAATTAACAACACAAAATTAAAGCACTTATATGTACGTATACATACACACACACACACACACACACACACACACACACACACACACACACACACACAAATATCCCTGAGGCAGAATAGCAATAAAAGGAGATAAAACAACATACCTTTCCCTTTCCACTTAACCTTTGCAACAGACTGGCTAAAATCCACATGTATTCTCCTGTCATCTATAAGTACATTATCCATTTTGAAGAATGCTTTCTCACAATCTTCTTCCTATTAGTGATTACAAAAACTCAAGCATGAATGTTTACAGGAAAGATTTCTGCAACTAGAACAAATACTGTAAACACAAAAAGGCTGTTATTACTAAAATTAATATTCAAATATTTCTTATTTATCAGATATTAAATTCATTGCATCTACTATCTCAATTAACCTTGGTAATAACCTTTTGAAGCTCCATCTATTAATTATCTCCATTATCTCAATGAGAAAACAGAAGTTTAATGAGGTACAGTATAGAAGCAGCCAGTGGTCAGAACCATTATTTGAACTGAGGCAGTCTGACTGTAGTGGACACACATACATTTACCACCTGGGTGAAGCAAGTCTACAATGCTAGTTACTCAAAACTCAAAATTACTATACCCCCAAAGTGAACGTTGTCTTCATAAATTTGGTGTTAAAAGTAATTTAGCAGGGGTTGGGGATAGCTCAGAAGTAGGACACTTGCACAAAGAACAGGTAGGGGTGGGAGGGATCTCTAGAACCAAGCAAAAAACCTCTGGCAAGCCAGGCAGTGGTGGCACACACCTTTAATCCCTGCACTCGGGAGGCAGAAGCAAGTGGATCTCTGAGTCTGAGGCCAGCCTGGTCTACAGAGCTAGTTCCAGGACAGCTAGGGCTATACAGAGAAATCCTGTCTCGAAAAACCAGAAACCAAACCAAACCACAACCAAACCCTGGAAATTTGGCAGCAGTATCTGCACCTAATAGGGGACTATGACCATTCTCAAAATCAACTTAGCATGACTGGTCATTTGTTTCAATGCAGAAATATTTTTGTAATTGATTACAGAATGCTGGCCTAATGAAATACTCCATAATCAACAAACGGAATGTGAGTTCAAGCCAGCCAGGGCTACATAGTGAGACTCTATCTCAAAACAACAAAACCAACCAACCAACAAACAAAAAGTTAAAGGACTCACACTACAAGATGTCTAACATAAGCATGACACCAACACCTAGAACCAGACTTCAAACACATATGAATGAATGCCTGAACAAAAATGGTCCCACAGAGCTCTGGGAACAGGGAGACCTTTATGTTTAGTGGGGCTGAGTCACATGAGTAAGACAAATGAAATGCAGTGGAACACAGAGGGCACAGACAAATCACAGACCCCTACAGCAAACCCCTACCTCACAGCATGGTTTATGAAAACAGCAGAGAAGGACTGAAGAGACAGCTGGCTTAGTAGGTTCCCGCACTTGCTGCTTTTGTAGAGGACCTGTGTTTGGTTCCTAGCACCAATCAGCTCAGAATCACCCACAACTCCAGTTCCAGTGAGTCCAATGCCCTCTTCTGGCCTATAAGAACACTGGGCACACACGGTGCACATGCATACATACAGACAAAACACTCACATACATAAAACTAAATAAAGCTTAAAAAAGAGTATAGAGAATATCTTCAGGTCTTTAGAGTAAGCAGAATTTTTAGAGGCCATGTTGAGAAAATGTTGACAAATGAGGCTAAGTTAAAACTATTACTTTTGAGTTTATCAAATGACACCATTAAGAAAGGAAATGGCAGCCGGGCGGTGGTGGTGCACGCCTTTAATCCCAGCACTCGGGAGGCAGAGCCAGGCGGATCTTTGTGAGTTCGAGGCCAGCCTGATCTCCAAAGCGAGTTCCAGGAAAGGCGCAAAGCTACACAGAGAAACCCTGTCTCGAAAAACCAAAAAAAAAAAAAAAAAAAAAAAAAAAATTTATAAGAAAGGAAATGGCAGCCGGGCGGTGGTGGCGCACGTTTATTCCCAGCACTCGGGAGGCAGAGGCAGGTGGATCTTTGTGAGTTTGAGGCCAGCCTGGTCTACAGAGCGAGATCCAGGAAAAGGCGCAAAGCTACACAGAGAAACCCTGTCTCAAAAAACCAAAAACCAAAAAAAAAAAAAGAAAAAAAGAAAGGAAATGGCACACACACACAAGATAGGCCAGGCAGTGGTGGCACACACCTTTAATCCCAGTACTCAGGAGGCAGAGACAGGGGGATCTCTGAGTTCAAGGCCAGCAAGTTCCAGGATAGCCAGGGCTAGGCAGAGAAACCATGTCTCAGAAAAGAAAGAAAATGAGAAATCCACAGAACAAAAGATATGTATGTATGATATATTATATATATATAACATATTAAAAAGAGCTTGCATTCATAACATAAAGAGTTCCTGAAAGACAATAAAAGGCAAGATATGCAATAGGAAAGCAAGCAAGTTACCTTCTAATAAATAATCTTGATGGCACAAAAGTGGAGTGAAGGGCAGGCAAATCTTGCATATGTTCTTTGTTTTACGAGTACATTGGGCCAGTGAGATGGTTTAGCAGGTTAAAAGTGCTTGCCACACAAGCCTAACAACCCGAGTTTTATCCCTAGACCCCACAGAAAAAGCCCGATGTGGTGGCACTCATCTGTAATCCCAGCACCAATACAGCAAGATGGGAGGTAGAGGCAAGAGACTATTGGTAGCTTAGGGTCAGCTAGCCTCAAGTATGCAGCATGGCAGACAGAAATGAGACACCTTGCTTTAGAACAAGGTGGAAGACTAGAATCAACTCCCAAAAGTTGTCCTCTGACCTCCACATGCAGGCTGTGGTATGTGTGTATTCCCCCCCATACTAATATTAATAGCAACAACAATAAAATCTGGGATTTCAGATATTATTTTTTATATGTACATTTGTCTGACTGTATGTCTGTGCACTACTTGTGTAGAGTGACCGTTGAGGCCACAAGAGGGTGTTGGAGCTCCTTGGGTTGGAGTTACAGACAATTGTGAACTAAGATATAGGTGTTGGGAATCGAACCTAGATTCTTTGGAAGAACAACCAATGTTCTTAACCACTGAGCCATCTTTCCAGCTCCTAAAATTTGTTTTGTTTGTTTGTTTGAAGTATACATGAGCTGGGGAGATGTATCAGTGGATAAAAGCACTTGCTGAACAAGTATACAGGCCAGAGTTTGCCTCCTCAGCCATAGAAATGCCAGGTGGGTGTGGTGGACGACCTATCAGGAGGTGGAGATGGGCTCTCTGGAGCAAGCTAGTCCAGCCCAATCAGCAAGCCGTAGGCTTAGCAAGATCCTGCCCTAGTAAATGAAGTAGTGAGCAATCAGAGCAAGATACCCAGCATCAGCCTTCGGCTCCATACACACACACACACACACACACACACACACACACACACACACACACACACACACACACGCATATGCACACACATACAGAGGGACATCCAAATGGTAATGAACGTGAGGAGAGAACAAGTACTCAAGCAGGAAGTGTGAAACAAACCACAATAAAGCATTACTACAGAAGCTGGAGAGCAGGTCACCAGGGAGCTTCCTGCTTTTGCAGAGAACGGAGTTTGGTTGCCAGCACCCATGTTGGGTGTTCACTCTCTGCCCTAAAGCTGACCTGAACTATGTATCCATAGAAAATGACCTGCCTGCAGGAAATTGAAAGACAGAGCAGTCATCAGTCTCCATGCTACAAATGAAACATTACTTGTAAGCAATAATAATAGATGTCGATGAGAGAACAGTCAGATCGATGAAAAGTTTCCATTGTAAGCCCAAAGAAAAGCTCTCTTTTCTGCTGGCACCAATAAACCTTGACATAGAAAAGACCTTGCCTCAAAAAACAAACAAACAAACAAACAAAGACTACTCAAAAACAAAACAGCCAGGTGCAGTGGTGCACACCTCTAATCAGACACCCGGGAGGCTGAAGCAGTATGACATCAGCCAAGGCAGCACAACAAGAACCCATCCTCAGAAAATAAATAAACAAGAAAACAACAGAATCTGGTGTATTTCAACTATGACATACCTTTTCGAATTCAATAAAAGCATAACAGAGGGATTCTCCTGTTTTCCAATCTCGGATAACTTCACAACTGAAAAACAATTTTTTTTTTTGAAAAGTCACTTAAAAAAAAAAAAGAAACTATTTGCTCTAATTCTTTAGGCCAGAACAAAATAAGCCAGTTATTAAACTTAGGGATGGCTTCGAAGTTTTCAGTAACAACTCTATTTACACACACACACACACACACACACACACACACACACACACACACACACAGCTCATCCATCCAGTAAACTATTCCAAATACACAAACTAGGCTATAGTGGTGGAGGTGGGGGCAGGCTTCCTTTTAACAAGAATAAACTGCTAAGTTCTTTTAATTTTAAAATTATTTATTTTTACATTTCTGAGACAAGGTCTTCTTGTGTATCCCTGGTTGGCCCGGTACTCACTATAAAACCCAGGTAATCTCAAACTCACAGCCATCTTCCTGCCTCGACCCTCTATGTACTGAGATTAAAGGTGTACACTATCATGTCCAGAAAAATCTTTAAATCCTAAAGTCTTTTTTAGTCTAAACATAAAAGACTTAAAGAATGTTACATATATAAGTGCTTATTAGCTTACGCTTTTGAATTAGATACAAGGACCCACTATGTAGCCCTGGCTAGCCTGGAACTCATTATGTAGACCAGGCTGGCCTTGATCATAGAGATCTTCCTGCTGCTGTCTCCCAAGTGCTTAGATTAAAGGCATGAGTCACCACAATTTAGGCTTTGGGTTTTAAAGTAAACAAGGCTCAAACACTGTAAGTACAGTTATCATACAGAACTAATTCGTCAAACAATATCAAGGGAAAAAAATCAAGAAGGTAGAGTTGAAAGTGGCTGGCTTGTCTCTCCCCATGTATCATATGAACCATTTTTAGAAACATTAAATGAAAGGGCATCCTAAATGTAGAACATGTTAATCAGTTAGAAAATAGTCTCCTTTGACTAGCTTTGTATATTTTTGCATTAATAATACAGGAGAGGGGCCGTGAGATGGTTCAGAAAGTAAAGGCACTTGCTCCTGGAACTGATGACCTGAGTTCACTCCCTGGCACCCACATGGGAGAAGAGAACCATCTTAGCTGGGCAGTGGTGGCCCACACCTTTCATCTCAGCACTCGAGGGGCAGAGGCGGGTGGATCTCCAAGTTTGAGAACAGCCTGGTCTATAGATCAAGCTCCAGGACAGCCAAAGCTACACAGAGAAATCCTGTCTCAAAAAAAACGAAAGAAAGAGAGAGATTGAGAGAGAGAGAGAGAGAGAGAGAGAGAGAGAGAGAGAGAGAGAGAGAGAGAACCATCCCCTGCAAGCTGTATATATTTTCCAAAAAGCTAGTACTAGTTTATTTTTTAAATAATAATAATAACAACAATAATAATGGCTAGAGAGATGGCGCAATGGTTCAGAGCACTTGCCGCTCTGCCAGAGGCACCGAGCTCCCTCCCAGCACCACACTAGGTGAGACTCACAGCTATCTATAAGTCTACCTCCAGGATCTGTGCCCTCTTCTATCCTCCAAGGACACCTTTATACATGAGCATATATTCACACAGACACACACATACTTTTTAAAAATAATAATATTTTAAATTAAATACTCAATGATAAAAACTGATAATAATAACATAGGGGAAATTAACCAAAGAAAAAGATTTTAAGTGGGGTAGTCTGGTAGTTTATAAAGTGTTTGCCTTGAATGCATAGGGACCTGAGTGTGCAATGGTATGAGCTTGTAATCCCAGTACTAGAGAGGTGGAGACAGGAGACAGGTGGATCCCTAGGACTCAGTGTGGCCAGCCAGCGCAGCCTACTCGGTGAGCACCAGTCAGGAAGAAACACAGCCTCCAAAATAAAATTAAATAAATAAATAAATAAATAATAAATAATAGATAGATAAATGAATAAATAAGAATGTGGACAATGCTTGAGGAAAATACCCAAGGTTGTCCTCTGGCCTCTACACACCTACACATGCAAAATAAAAATAAAACCCACAACAAATCACAATTTTTTGCTTTTGAGGTGTGGTAATGTAAACTTGTAATCCCAACACTCATGAGTGTGGAAGATAGGCTTAAGGCCAGAGTAGGCTATGAGAGTGAACCCTGTCTTAAAAAACTTGTACACACACACACACACACACGGCTGGACACAAAGTGTACCTGATAAAGAGTTTGCCAAGTACACAAGAAGCCCTAGGCTCATTCCACAGAACCACAGAAATGGACTGTGGTAACCACCTATAATCCTAGTACTCAGAAGGTAGAGGCCGGAGGACCAGGAGTTCCATGTCATCCTTAGCTACATAATAAGTTTAGAAAATAAACACATAAAACTTGGAAATTTTAATACTGACATAGATTGCTAATAATTTTAGGAATTAATTTAAATAATATTTTAAATATTAAATAAGGCTGTTGAGAGTATTATACAAGTAGACAAATTGCTCAACTCATATTTTTTTGTGAAAACGTGTTAAGAATTGAAGAATCACTCAAACATTTAATTTGTGCGTATGTCTGAAAACACACTTTTCTTTCCTACTGTTGAAACACACATCTATAAAAATTACCAGTATGAGATTCACCAAAGGAGCTGCCTGAGGTTTTGCTTAACAGGCATGATGCCCTAGGTTTGATACTCAGCCCCACAAAAAAATAAAAACAAAAATTTTTAAGTTCACTCAAAATTGACAAACTCACCAAAAATGTGTAATTAGAAAACATCTGCTGAGTATGATGGCATGGGGCTTTAAGCCCCAGCACTGAGGAGGCAGAGGCAGGAGGATCTCTGTGAGTTCAAGTTCTGCATGGTCTATATAGAAATTGCTGGCCAGCCAGGTCTATAAATGAAACCCTGTTTCAAAAAGACAAAAAATAAAACAAACACCCACACCAATCAATTAATACCTAGATATTCCCAAATCCCGGGATTACCTTCTTATTGGTCCAAATCTTGAGAATATTATCTCCAGGTCCTCATCTGTGGTCACTGGATTCAATTTACACACAAACAACACATTTTCTGGAGGTTTAATATCTGCATCAGGTAGGTCTCCCACCTAAAGTTACAAAATAATCAAGCATACAAATCAATTCTTTTAGTTTCTATTCCAAATATTTTGTCCAAGTCCACAACACTGATTTCCTAGAACCATCTAAATTTACAACATGAACTATAGGTTCAGGGTTAAAAAAAAAAAAAATCTAAAAAACTTTCCAAGGGCTAGAAAGACGATTCATAGGGTAAAAGTGCCTGCCATCAGGCTCAATGACCTGCATTCAATTCCTAGGACTCAGATACGTTAGAATATGGTCCAAAAATGGAATGCATGAGATTTCTGAGTGTTTGTAAGAAAACTCCAAGAAACCAAAACAAGAGTCTTGTGACCTCAGTTTCTTCAAAAATGTGGAATTTGTTCTTGGATTGTACTCTCGTGCTCCTCCCAAGTGTAGTGGATAGGAGTGAGTTTACTTCAGATTATTCATTACAACTGGCTATTATTATTTGTTTATATGCCTACATGGAAAAACATAAGGCGGTGGTGGCGCACACCTTTAATCCTGATACTCAGAAGGCAGAGGCAGGCAGATCTCTGTGAGTTTGTGGCCAGCCTGGTCTACAGAGAGAGTTCCAGGACAATCATTGCTACACACAGAAACCCTGTCTCAAAAAAGGAAAGGAAAAAGAAAAACATGTTTTTGCTGCACATGCAGCTTGCCCTTGTAATTATACACCTTACTCTTGTGACTCCTCTTAACACTCAGAATATAAATTGTCTGATGCTCTGAATAAAGTTGACTTTATTCCACCTCATTTGCTGGCTCCATTCTCCAGGTTCTATCACCTTTAGAGAGGTAAACACTGATGGTGAAAAAAAACCAACTCCCAAAATTTGTCTCTTGACCTCCACATGCACATCATGACATGCATGTACACATACACAAAACACAAAACAAAATGTAATAATTTTTTTCAATTAAAGAAATCTGATATGATATTTTTCCTGGTATTAACAATACTAATAGCTAATGTTTTTACCTAACTTGATACTTACGAATCATTACTGCTAATTCTTCAAGCAATACCACAATTTCCATTCATTTATTTACTTTTCAAATTTATTTATATTTTAGACAGGATCTTACTGGAACTCAGATTGGACTCAAACTTGTGGTCCTCCTATCCCCACCTTCTGAGAACTGAGATTACAGGCCTGTACCACCATACCAAGCACAATTTCTACTTTAAAGGCAAGTACAGTGAAATCAAGAGTTACAGCTAGGATATGAATCCAGATCGATCCTGGCTTCAAAAGTCCCAAATTATCCCTATTTTCTCTTTTTTTAAGTATTTGATATATCATTTTTTAAAAAGATGTAAAGCATAAGTTCTGAAGCATAACAATACAAACCACTGGGGCTCAGTGGGTAAAAGCCCCTGCCACCCGATGAACTAAGTTGGATCCTCAGTGGAAGCAGAAAACCAACTCTGGCACATTGTCCTCTGACCCTCACACACACCCATACACAAAATAAAAACAATGCACTTTGAAATGAATGAATGAAATGAAATAAAAACTACCTGGCTAAGAACGAATGTACTCCCTGGTCCCGTTGTCCTTGCTTCTCTCACAAAGATCACTTTTTCTTTTTTTAAGATTTACTTATTTTTTGTTTACAGTGTTCTGCCTGCATATATGCTTGCAGGCCAGAAGAGGGCACCAGATCTCATTAAAGATGGTTGTGAGCCACCATGTGGTTGCTGGGAATTGAACTCAGGACCTCTGGAAGAGCAGCCAGTGCTCTTAACCTCTGAGCCATCTCACCAACCACACTCCCCCTTTTTTGTTTTTGTGGGGTTTTTTTGCTTTGTTTTGTTTTTTGAGACAGGGTTTCTCTGTGTAACAGCCCAGGCTGTCCTGGAACTCACAGAGCTCTGCCTGCCTCTGCCTTCCAAGTGCTGGAATTAAAGGTGTGTGCCACCAGCACCTGACAAGATCACCTTTTTTTTTTTTTCCTTTTTGGTTATTTCTTTTCATAGTCTAAGATGTTTACCACATACATCATTGAGCAATATATTATTTAGTTTCGTTTATTACTGAATTTTTGAAAAATATGATTATGTGGAATCTAGTCTTCGGTGATTTGTATACCTAATTTTTTTCATACTGCTTTTGAATATGGAACCACAATTTCTACATAGTTTTTTCCCTTAAAGTCCCAACCTATGCCTTTTTCTTTCTGCAAACTAAAGTCAAGGTCAAAGTCAGCTGCTGCACCACACAGAACACACTGTAGTGCACTTGCTGCACTTCCTACTAAAGAGCACAAAGGGCAGCAGTGAAGTAGAACCATGAGGATGGGAAATGTATTTCCCACAAGCACTTTGAGGGCAACAATATTCCCCTATATACATTTGAAAACCCTGAGATGATTATGTAAGAATTACCTACTGAATAAACACACCAAAAAGAAAATCTTGAAATGCAGAAACTGAAGAAGTTACAAAGCCATAAATCTGGACAACATTTCTGAAGCCTGTCAAAGGCAACAACAGTCTATTAACTACATCCAATGAGAAGTATCACAGTCAGGAATGGCGGCACACTCCGGGCTGGAGTCTATGCTACCTAGTAGGCTGATGAGCCTAGGAGACTGAGACTAGTCTGGGAAGCACAGTAAGACCCTGTTCAAAAAAAAAAAATCGTAACACAAAAGAGAAAAACCAAATCAATAAAAATCCATAAATGACAGAAAAACAAATAAGAAAGAAGTTAATGGGGAAAAACAGCTTGCAGGAGACTAGGGAGATGGCTCTGTGGTTAGGAACATGCACTGCTCTTTCAGAGAACCTAATTTTGGTTCCCAGAATGCACGTCAGGAGGCTCACAACCACCTGTAACTCCAGCTCCATGAACACTTGACACATCGGGCCTCCATGAGCACTTGTGCTAATACACACTCACATGCAAACACACATACACATAATTAACTGGGCTGATATAGCTAGCCAAAGAAATGTGATTCATTATAGGGAATTAAATGATTTATCAGCTCAAAATAAACTATTCTCTAATATACATAAAATGTAGTCTAATAAATAATGTTCAAAAATAATATAACTGAAATTCAATAAATATTTATAACTTAGATAGCCATCTCCTATTTTTTAAATTTCTATTTTTACATTTATTTGTGCACGTGTGTGTGTGTGAATGTGGGTGTGTGCATGCCATGGTGTACATACAGAGGTCAGAGGACAGCCTACAGAAGGTGGCTCCCTCCTTTCACCGTGTGTGTTCTGGTGATCCCACTAGGTTATCAGGCTTGTCAGCAAGCACCTTCAATTACCACCTCACCTAACCCCTCCCAGCTTTTAAAAAGACACTCAGTAATTTACGGAAAAACAACCAAACTGTTATTTTCATGTTATTGGGTCCTATCAAATGTAATCCAGGAAGAAAATCTCACTAAATTTTTACTAGTTTATTATCACAAAAGCAGATAAACTCCTAAGAATGTGTAATAGAAGTAACATAACATAAATGACGTAACGTGAGTTGCATAACAACTATTTGACCAAAATTATTATCTTACCATCTCTAGAAGAATAGCTTGAGTTTTAGCCTCTTTCTCGGCCTTTATTTCTTCGACTTCTTCAGCTGATCTTCCTTTGAAGTCATCAATTTCTTCATCTGCTCCTATTCGGCCACTCTGTAAAACAGAAGTTAAAGATCTGAGCATCACGGAAGATACCATGTTTTATTCTTAGCCTATCAAACATAACAGAATAGAAACTTATGAGCCTCTGGGAACTCATTTCAATTAATTCTAGAGTATTTGCCAGACTTGGCTTCTGACTGCAAAATCAAAAGAAATGTTTATATAAGTACTATTATCCAACTAAGTGTTCAGTAGAAAAGATACATAATTGTACAATTAAACACCAAACTCAACCATAAATTCAGCTTTAAGAAAGCCTTATGAACAACACCTTAAATTTATACTTTAAAATGCCTAAAAAACTATACAGTCCATATAAATGCCTGGGTCTAGCCTGGCTCCAGAATATCCCCACTTAAAAGGTATCTTATGGGGTTGGGGATTTAGCTCAGTGGTAGAACGCTTGCCTAGCAAGTGCAAGGCCCTGGGTTCGGTCCTCAGCTCTGGAAAAAAAAAAAAAAGTATCTTATAAGATGATCTTCAGTTTGACCTTGAGGCTATTCTCCTAGAGTTGGGTGATAGAAAACCTTCCCAAAGCACTGCTTATATGAGGTTTCAGAACTAAGACTTCTGGTAGAATAGAAACTAAAGACAGAAATTAAGGAAATAATGAAACAACTACAAAATAAGCATCTCTTTGGGCAAGAAAAGAATTCTACACTTGCTCTAGTATAATAGATAAACAAGATAAGGAATAGAAAGAAATGTTTAAATATACCTATACAAAAATGTGCTACTAGTTGGGTATGGTGAGAACTCCTTTAATCCCAGCATGTGGGAGGCAAAGGCTGTCGAATCTCTACGAACTTCAGGCCAACCTGGACTACACAGCAAAATACCAGGCCAGCCAAGGCTACATAGTGAGACTCTGTCTCAAAAGAAAGAAAACAAACAACACCAAGGTGCTACTTACATCTAATTGTTCCCTTGTAGGTTCTGGTGATCGATCAGGAATTAATAAATCAGGAGGGTCATCAAATGGATCATCTAAAATCACTGTATGATTTATCCTTACAAAACAAATTCAAGTCAAACGTTACATTTATTTTAGAATCCATACTTATTTTTTCACACATTTTAACATATAAGTACTTCTAATGTCCAAAGACTCAACGGTGAGTATTACTGACCTACAGTATAATTTTAAAATGAACTGCACTGTATTTCCTTCGATATTATTGCTCTGTATTACTTTATGACATAAATTAAGCTGGGCATGATGGCTGGCACCTGTAATCCCCAGAATTCAGGAGGTCAAGAGAAGAGAATCACAAGTCTGAGGCTAGCCTGAACTAGAAAGAAAGTTTCAGGTAAGCTGGGTTACAGAGTGAGACCCTGACTCAAAATACACACATGAAAAACTAAAGAGAGGAAAAAGAAAAAAATAAATTTCTAAAACTTGTTACTTGTGCCCGATTTTTTAATAATCCTCCTCTAAAAAAAAACTGAAACAAGGGCTGGAGAGATGGCCCAAGAGATTAAGAGCACTGGCCGAGGTCCTGAGTTCAATTCCCAGCAACCACATGGTGGCTCACAACCATCTGTAATTTGATCTGGTGCCCTCTTCTGGTGTGTAGGCAGAATACTGTATACATAATAAATAAATCTTTAAAAAAAAACAAAACTGAAACAAGAGTAATTCTTACCAATATAACAATCAGGACAAGAGAAAGAAAATAAAAGCTCCTTCTCACGAGGATTCTAATGATCTCATATTAATTCACACTTCAGAATTATTCTAGAACTAGTTGTGACAGTTAATTTCAATTGTCAACTTGACAGGATCTGACACCTGGAAAGGGAGTCTAGATTAAAGTGGTCTGTGGGAATGCCCGTGAGGGATTTTCTTTCTTTTTCTTTTTTTCTTTTTCTTCCGAGACAGGGTTTCTTTGTGTAGCCCTGGATGTCCTGGAACTCACTCTGTAGACCAGGCTGGCCTGGAACTCAGAGATCCACCTGGCTCTGCCTCCTGAGTGCTGAGATTAAAGGTGTGCCACCACCTCCAGGCTTTACGTTACTTTAGTCAAAGTATTTTATCACAAAAAAAATAGAAGAAACTAAGGTTTTAGTCCTATGTGGAGAAGTCTCATTCATGCCATTACATGATCAATATCACAGCGTTAAAACATTCTAATACGTTAAGATAGTAAAGGTAAACACACCTGATATCTTGATATGGTACAAAATCCTTGTCTACAAAGGTCTCATTGATTTTCTTAACTATGTCCATGCCTTCCGTCACTTCACCAAACACTGTATGAACACCATCAAGGTAATCTAGATTGTCTCCTGTAGTAATAAGAAACTAGACCGAAAGGCACATAATAAATATTTATATATATATATAACTCTGAAATCACGTATAACTCTAAGAACACACCAAGACTCTACATTTACTGTATCAATTCTTGCACACTTATTTCTAGAATTAAATAAAAAAGACTTTATATCGACAGGTGCACAGATGTCCCCTGATAAACAGAAGAGGTGTGGTGTGGCCCCATGTGCACAGTGCCTATGGAAGCCAGAAGAGGGCATCAGATGCCTTGGAACTGGCGTTTCAGAGCATTGTGGGTGCTAGGAATTGAACTGGGTCCTCTGGAAGAGCAGTTAGTGCTCTTAACCATTAAGCCATCTCTCTGGCCCCCCTTTTAATGTAGAAAAGAAATAATTTGGTATTTCCCCTAAAAAAATGTCCTTTAGTACATTCTCTCATTACTGAGTAACTTGAAAAGATAACTTCACAGGCTCCTTCCAGTTCTTCATGCCCAAGCAAAGCACATCTCCATCCAGGTCCTCACCTGAGATCCGTGCTGGTCGCTGCCATTGTTCACCATGGACACAGTGCCTTTCTTCTTGTGCTTGATCCTTGGCACTTTTTCTGCCTCAAAAAAGCTTGCTTGATCACCATACAGTTGTCTGAAAGTATACAATAGAGTTATAAAACTTACAAACTCTCAAAATGAAATGCAGATATTGTAACAGTGTAACTGTCTCTACAGATATCCCACTGTGATTCAAATACTCCTTTCTTCTTACAGGCATTCTGGGAACCTAGAGAACTACCTTAGAATATGAGCAATATTTTAACATGAAGATTGAACTACAGCAATTATACTTTGGTCTTATTTAAAAATAAAAGGTTGAGGCCAGGCGGTGGTGGTGCATGCATTTAATCCCAACACTCAGGAGGCAGAGGCAGGCAGATCTCTGTGAGTTCCAGGCCAGCCTGGTCTACATAGTGAGTTCGAGGCCAGCCTGGACTACAGAATGAGTTCTAGGATAGGCGCCAAAGCTACACAGAGAAACTTTGTCTCGGGGGGGGGGGGGGGGGGGGGGGGGGGAATCTTGAATCTGAGCCAAGACTAAGCTACATGGTGAGTTCCCTGCTACAGAATAAGACCCTATCTCAAAATCAATTTAGAAAATGGAGGCAAGAAGACCAGTTCAAGCCCATTCTCAGCTTGATAGAGATTGAGTTCAAGGTCAGCCTGGGCTACATGAAATCCTGTCTCTAAATACATACATATACACTGTCCTGGTTGGGGTTTTGTTCTGTTTTGTTTTATCAAGTTGACAGAAGCTAGAATTAAGAGTTATCAGGAAGAGGAACCTAAATTGAGAAAACAGCTCCATCAGATTGTCTGTAGGCAAGTGTATAGAACAGTTTCTTGATTAATGATGATGTCGGAGGGCCCAGCCCAGAGGGAGTCAGTGCCACCCCCAGCAAGTAGTTCCAGTTTGCATAGGAAAGCACACCAAGAAAGCTGTGAGGAACAAGCCAGTAAGAAGTGTTCCCTCAAGGCTTCTGCTTCAGTTCCCGCCGTAAGTTCCAGTCCTGACTTCCTTTACTAATGGAGAATTACGTGAGATAAATAAACCCTTTCCTTCCCAAGTTTGCTTTTTGATCATGGTGCTTTATCACAGCAATGGAAACTCTAACTAAAACATGTACAGCTGGAAATTGGTGGCGTACACCTTTAATTCCAGCACTCGGGAGGCAGAGGCAGGAGGATCTCTGTGAGTTGGAGGCCAGCAGGGCTACAGAGTGAGTTCCAGGAAAGGTGCAAAGCTACACGGAGAAATCCTGTCTCGAAAAACCAAAAAACCAAAAAAAAAAAAAAAACCATGTACATCAGAACTTACCCAAACACAGACTCTCCTCCACGGCCAGTTCCCGTAGGATCTCCTGTTTGTATGATAAAATCCCTCTATAACACACAGAATTATTTGTTAATTCACAGTTTGCTATACGTTTCCAATAACAAAGAGCATGACAAATATCTACCAACTCACCTGTACATTGTGAATAAGGCAATAATTGTAATACTTTATTTTGCACAACTTCAGAAAATTCAAGCAAGCTGAAAGAAAGTAAAAACTAAATTTATTATCAGAAAGCAAAGTTCAGTTTTAAACAAATTTGTAAAAGCACAATTAGTACAGTTTAATCTCTACATTCACATTTTTTTTTTTTTTTTTTTTTTTTTTTTTTGGTTTTTCGAGACAGGGTTTCTCTGTGTAGCTTTGCGCCTTTTCCTGGAACTCACTTGGTAGCCCAGGCTGGCCTCGAACTCACAGAGATCCGCCTGGCTCTGCCTCCCGAGTGCTGGGATTAAAGGCGTGCGCCACCACCGCCCGGCTACATTCACATTTTTATTAAAAGAAAAACAAAGGTTCTGGGGAGGCGGCTCACAGGTCAAGGTGCTTGCTGCCAAACCTGAAAACCTAAGTTCAGTTCCCAGAAACTACAGGTCAGAGAGAACAACTCCCAAAGTTGTCCTCTGACCTCTGTAAGCATGCTGTGGCACACACTCGTTTATATACAAACAATAAATAAATGTTAAAAGAAAAAGCCAAGTCCAAAGCCAAAAGAAGGGGCACTATGCCTTTATAAAAGTCAGCTTCTTTGAGGGTGTAGCTACTGGCATGTTTCCCATGCTGCAGTGGATGGTTCCACACCCATGCACATGTGGTAGTACCAGCTAGATATGAAGCTGGGAGGGGGACATATTAGAGGGATATGAAAGGAGTTGGAGAGGAAATGGGGATTTATATGCTCATATCTCACTGTATGGCATACATGGATGACAGTCAAAAACACAGAAAGAGTAACTAATACAGCCTTGGCAAGCTGTAAGCACACACATGTACAGAAAATAATAAGTAAAATGTATATTTTTTAAAAGATGAAAGAGAACTGGGCATGGTGGCACAGGCCTTTAACCCCAGCACTCAGGAGGCAAAGGCAGGCAGTTCTCTGAGTTTGAGGCTAACCTGGTCTACAGAGCGAGATCCAGGACAGCCAGGGCTACACAGGGAAACCCTGTCTTGAAAAACCAAAAAAGAAGGGGAAAAAAAGAGAAAGAAAGAAAGAAAGAAAGAAAGAAAGAAAGAAAGAAAGAAAGAAAGAGAGAGAGAGAAAGAGAGAGAGAAAAAGGAGAAGAAAAAAGAGAACTGGACTGGCAGAAAGTAAAAAAATGAGAAAGATGGGGGTGGGGGACATGCTCAGCGTCAGTGTTTAGCATGCAGGAGGGCCTGGGTTAGATTCTCAGACATGTACTACCATGCCTGGCCCCGGTAACACTTTTTTTCAGTTATTTTCTCTTATAGATACACACTAAAGTGATTTCAGATTAAATAAGTCCAGTCGGGGTAGGAGATCCTGTAAATGAAACAAACTTAGCTATGTGTTAACAACGAGTAATGAAGTTGTTCATGGGTACTTAAGATTTCATTTACTGATTATCTTCACTTTTGTTTGTTTAAATTCTTTTCTTTTCTTTTTTTAAGTCCCCCCTACCCTCAGCAGGGTTTCTCTGTATAGCCCTGGCTGTCCAGGAACTCACTCACTGGGATCAAAGATGTGCACCACCACGCCTGGCTTACTTAAAATTTTTCAGCAATTAAAAGTTTAAAAAAAATCAATCTGGACATGTGGATATGCTTACTATTGATTGATAAGTAAGTATACATGTAACTAGATGCCCAGTCACTCTTCTTCAAATATATACACACAAGTAGACATGTTTTTGGTGTCCCAAGCTTTCTTTGCAGAACTCCTGCGTGTTAACCATGTGTGATAACTCTGTCCCCTCTTCAGGAGTGCACAACTCTGGGGAAAGGGGTCCATTCATTATGTAAAGTGCCGCTCTACATGCAGAGTGTCAACGGAGCTCAAGGAAAAGAAAATGCAAAATCAAGAGACAAAATACAATTCCATAGAGCATCCTTGGAACCCTCAGATCCAGCCACCCTTACGCATCCAAGCTTATCACAGCAACAGAAGGCAACTGAGCACTTTGTTTAGGCTCTCTTGAGTTGAATTTCTATCTCTTGACTGAGTATTAAGTAAAAACAACACATTCCTATGCATTACTCACTGCACCAAACCACTAGTACATGTTCTCAGAGTGGCAGATAATGGAGATATTAAGGTACAGTTCCTACTCTCCTTGCGGCATATTACTGAAAGGAGACAGTCATGCACATAGTTCCAGGACAGTTAAGTATATGTTCTAATAAAATGAACACCATTGTGATTTATAAAACCATCGCAGGCAGAACAGTAGGAACAGATTAACTTTGATCTTCTGAGCGTTGCACAGAAGAGCTCGTGTTTTATCTGAGATCTGAAGAGTCAGGAAGTTCCCAGAAGGATAAGAGTGGGGAGCAACGTGGGCAGTGGCAACAGTAAGAAAATGGAAGACTGCAGGAGAAAGTGAAGTGTTTGTGGGTGGAGGGGAGAAACAGTTGAGCGTGGGAGAAGGTGTATGTGGCAGTTCCTTTCATTCTCTGCTAATCTCTGCATTCCGCAGGGGAAAGACAGTGATTGGAGCTAATCTCGCCTGGTTTCCCGATTCCCCCACTGAATACGGGCCCCACACAGCTGCCTATTATCATTCCAAGGCAAGTATATAATCCTTCAAATGCTGTGACCATCTGCAAGACACATAAGACTATTCAGGACCTGACCTACCAGTACCTAACCTGACTGGAAGTCGGTGGCAGCTGTTACATCCCACATACCAATTCATTCCAGCTATGCCAAATTTCTTGCTATTTCCAGAAAAATCTGCAAACTGCTAAGAAAACCTCAATTGCCACTCATCTCCGAAAAAGCTAGTTTTCTTCCTTGGCTTCTTCCCAACCCGACTAGGGAAGACTCGCTCACCTCTCTGTTTTCCATAGCAACGTACACATCCTCCTACTAGGACTCTTAAGTTAAAAGTGGAGCCCGCTTCGTTCTCCCTCCATGGAAAATCAGACTCTACAAGATGAGACGCCTAAACTCTAGCTGACCCCTGGCGCCTGGCTGGCTACCTACACCGGCAGACAGCAGGTGTCAAGTAACCAGGAGGGATGCCACGGCCACCCTCCCGAAAACCAGACGCACCCTGCCTGCTTTCATCATGACAAATGACACTCACTTAAATCAAGCCGTATTGAACTCTTTTCCGCTCAGGAGGAAAAAGAGAGCACAGCGGAGGGACGAGAGCCATGGGCATCACCCCACAAACCACAGTCCTTCGAGAAGGACCACAGGAAACGTACACACACACACACACACACACACACACACACACACACACACACACACACACACACACACACACACACACACACAATTTTTTTTGTTTTTTTTTTAGCCAAGGCCCGCTATGAAACAGAGCTCGAGCCCGAAACAGCGAAGGGAAGGGAACTTGGGCAGCGGGTTCGCGGCCCCGCCGCCGCCAGGGCGCGGAGGACGCAGGCCTCACCGCGCGGCCGCTCTTCGGTGTACAAGTCGATGACCACGTCGCCCAGAGTGGTCTCCAGAAGAACCGCCATGGCGCCGGCTTCTCCTCGCGAACAAACCCCCGGCAATGACAGGCGTAGCCAGCGCGCGGCTGCGCCTGACGTCACTAGCTGCGCGACGCGTGCGGCGTCATCCGCGAGCGCCGCCGCCCGTCTTGGAAGCGCAACTTCCGGCCACCAGCGGACCGCGTCGTTGCGCCCGGCTGCTGCCGGCTGCTGCCGGCTGTCGTCCGGCCTGCGGAGGCGTTTTGAAGGGTCTGCTTCGCCCTTGGTGACCCGTATAAAGGCCTGTCCCTCAAGAGGGCCATTCTATAGGGATATCGTATCCATCCGCGAGTAGGGAGGCCTCCAAACCCGCGGCGCGGCGCGGCGCGGTCTTCCCTCGCCCTTGTAAGAGGAGGGCCCGGGGGATTCCAGTCTCTAAGCTCTCCTTGCAAAACGCCAGGCCGCAGGCGACCTGTTGCTGCATGAAAAGGTGACTAACATGCTTTGGATTTTTTTTTTTAACCTACTCTTCTGTAGCTCAGGACTGTACATGGTTTAGCAGCACGGGGAGTTATTTTGGGCGACATATTAGAATGCAATAGGCATCTAATTTTTTTAAAGATTTATTTATTATGTTTACAGTGTTCTGCCTGCACCAGAAGAGGGCACCAGACCTCACTATAGATGGTTGTGAGCCACCATGTGGTTGCTGGGAATTGAATTCAGGACCTCTGGAAGAGCAGCCAGTGCTCTTAACCGCTGAGCCATCTCTCCAGCCCAGGCGTCAATTTTAAACTTTTTAATATTTACTTATAGAAAGGGTGCTTGTTCGAGAACATGAATGTGGTGGTCCTCTGACCACCGCCTTCCATCATGTGTTTCCTAGAAGTGGCTGTCAGATCATCAGGACCATCTGCCTAACCTTTAAATTTCTCCTTATTAATATTCTAACTAAGGAGACTTACCAGAACTAATGTTTTGGGACGCTGATAACATGCTTCCATAAGTTTATTACACTCTTTTCTACCCAAACATTTTTCACTTTTATGTCGTTTTAGTGTGTACTTGTGAAAATCAGAGACGTGATAAGATAGATCATAGGCATATCCAAGAAGGTGAGGAGAAAAGGCTTTTTAAAGGTAAACTTACAAAAATGCTTTTTAAAACAATTCCAGGACTAGAAGTTCACCAAGCGTGTGTATTTCCTTGGATTACAAGGAAATTAGGAAATAGAAGTAGCTAAAGAAAAATGAGTTTATTTACAGCCTGGTCCCATTTGGAAGGGTCTAATCCCAAACCCTGCACCTGTGTCCATTTTATAATTTAGAAAGTCATGGGAGAAGGGCTAGAACACATGTAGATTTAACTATGCAGGAGGTTAATCAGACACTGGATGTATTTATATATTCTGCTTATTAATGAAGTCATATTGAATAAATCTCTTTTCTCTGCTTTCACTATTATTTATCTCCTTCATTTAGTGTAATTTAGATGGATGATTGAGCCTTTCTTGTTTGAGCTGAAAGAAAACAGGCTTATTTTCTAATAGCAGTACAGCATTTGACTTGCATATGTGAGTCCTTTGTTTCAAACTCTTACCAAAACAGCTATTTAGATCTCTTTTGCACACACACACACACACACACACACACACACCATTGACTCCATAAGATGTCTAAAGCAAAATGAAAATACTGACATGTTAATGTCCTTTTCCTAAAGTCACAATGGATTCTTGGAACAACAGACCTTCTCAGAAGAGATACTCCTCAATGGAGGGCAATTATAGTAGCCAAGCCAACACAGGATAAAATTTTAAGAATAAGATTTAATTTTTCAGGCTTAGAAGATGATTCAGTTGCTAAAAACCTTGCCACCAAGGCTGACTACCTAAATTTGGACCTCTGAAACCCACAAGATAGAAGGAGAGAACTAACTCCCCAAATGCTACCCTCTGACCTCCATATACACATCATATCCACTCACACTCACATATATTTGTTTAAAGTGTCTTGGAGTCTGGAGAGATGATTTAATGCTTAGTAGCACTGGCTGCTCTTCCAAATGACCCAGTCCAACACCTAGCAAGAACATGGCTGCTTACAACCATCTGTAACTCCAGTCCAAGGGGTCGCACACCCACTTCTGGCCTCGAAGCATATTACATGCTCCTGGTTCACAGGCATACATGTAGGTGAAACACCCATACACATAAAATGAAAATAATTTTTAAAAAGTTTCTCAGGATGAAACATTAAGGACTTTATGGGGGAGGAGCTGGAGATGTAGCTCAGTTGATAGAATGCTTTCCTTGAGTGGATACAGGCCAGGGTAAGGTTTCTAGCACCATATAAACCAGGAATGATAATACATATCTGTAATCCTGGCACTCAAGTTGTGGAAGCAGGAGAATCAGTTCAAGATCATAGTCACTATGTAGCAAGTAGAAGCAAACCTTGGATGCATGAGGCCCCGCCTCAAAAACATTTGAATCAAATCTGCGCAGCATTCTGTGAGTGAAAACCTGGAAGGAACTAAAGTATACATAGGAACTTACATACAGACTCATATAGCAGCGTACAAGACGGCTACACAGAGGCAGGACCAACATTTGCAACCAGTGTCCTGAAGGAATTGGCAGAGGTGTGACAAGACCTGGGAATCCATCTGTGAAGCACTGCCCACGATTGATTGTCCTAAGGAAGACTCCCATTGCAGAGGAATGTCCAAGCTGTAAAACAGGATCCTAAGACTTGGGAATGGATTGCAAGAGAATCCAGATGACAGAGAGTCAATAATCAGGCCAGTCTTTTTATATTCCTAGATTTCAATCCAGCTTTCTCCCTCCACACCTACACTGTTTGATAGCCATGTCATTTCAGGATGCCAGCTCTGCCCCACTCTTTCTTGCCCTCACTCCTGCTCACATTTGTTCCTTATTTTCTTTTGCATTTATCCTCTCTCAATAGACATATTCTGGTCTGGTTTGCAGGGTGTCTGTTCCTCAGTCTCCAGAGAGACAGTGTTGTTTATGTTATCTGATAGCCTGTCTTTACCTCTTTCTTAGGTCTCCTTTTAGCCAAAAATCCTTGTCTTCCCCTGCTCTTTTTTTTTATTCTTAAAGATTTATTTATTTGGGGGCTGGAGAGATGGCTTAGTGGTTAAAAGCACCAGTTACTCTTTTATAGGACCCAGATTCGATTCCCAAGCACCCACATGGCAGTTCACAACTGTCTGTGATCTGGCACCCTTGCACAGACATACATGCAGGCAAAAATTTCAATGCACATAAAAAAATTTTTTAAATAAACCCCTTTTTTTAAAAAAAAAAAAAAAAAAGAGATTTAAGCTGGGTGGTGGTGGCGCACGCCTTTTATCCCAGCACTCAGGAGGCAGAGCCAGGCGGATATCTGTGAGTTTGAGGCCAGCCTGGGCTACTAAGTGAGTTCCAGGAAAAGGCACAAAGCTACACAGAGAAACCCTGTCTTGAAAAACCAAAAGAGAGAGAGAGAGAGAGAGAGAGAGAGAGAGAGAGAGAGAGAGAGAGAGAGAGAGAGAGAGAGAGATTTATTATGTATACAGTGTTCTGCCTGCATGCCAGAAGAGGGCACCAGATCTCATTACAGAGAATTGTGAGCCACCATGTGGTTGCTGGAAATTGAACTCAGGACCTCTGGAAGAACAGCCAGTGTTCTTAACTGCTGAGCCACCTCTCCAGCCCCCCCCCCCCACACTGCTCTTTTTTTTCCCTTGTAGTTCCCCCTACTATTTATGTTCTTTTCCTCTTCATTGTCTCTATCATCCCAATACTAATCACTAATCTTACTATATTTTTCTTTGTACTTTTTGCTCATACCTACGATAACTAATATGTTACTACACACAGTACTATCACTGTCTCTTTACTCCTTAAAATGATTAGTGCTTAAAGGATGATTGGTTTATACTTGACTATTTACCCCTCTGTTTTCATAGTGGGTCTACCCATGGATAGTGGTTGCTTTTGCATACAGCATTCTTTGTACAGAAGAGTACTGGGGACAGAGCCTGGTGCCGTGATTAACAGTCTAACAGTAGAAAACAACTTCTGAACTCTTCTACAACATCGTCTGCACCTGAACTACCTAACTGCTGATATTGCAAGTCTCTGTAGAGGGCACGAGGTTTTTGTGCTCACAGATAAGCACTAGGGAAACCAGGAATGTTAAGCTTGCATGCTCCTTTCTTCAATGGAAGGGATGTGTATACCTGTTTTTCACCCAGAAGGCTGTTAATAGCCTGGTGGTCTGTGCTATCTGTAGGGCCTGGCCACACAAAATCCCTCAGACTTGGTTTATCTCTCTTGCTAGACCTTTAGCTTTGTTTCTCAGTCAGGAGAACCCTCCTTAAGGGAGTTGGCACATGTGCTTTGTAGGCTGATGACCTCTACACATCTGTATGACTGAGACCAAATCAGATCCTAGGCACTTAAGCTGTAGAACCCATCTTTATGGTAGAGGTTGCATGTACTTTGCAAAAGAGTTTGAATGTAGTCACACCTTAAGTTTAGTGTACATGTGGACTTGAGATAATTGTTACCAGGAAACATTTTTCCCCAAGTTGCACTGTACTTAAAATATATTTAAAATAAACTGCCTGTTGTCAGACTCTAGAAATATGAACCAATGCCAGCTAACTAAGTCATGTTGAACCGGATTTCCTTGTCTCACTCAGTTTCTCTGCCAGCCATGGTGCTTGCAGAGACCTCC